GCCTCTGCTATTGCAGGGTGCCTAGATCACATGAATCTTCCACGCATTTGTACACAGCGAGCAAACTAAAGTCTCTCCACTCAGAGAACGAATATTGGTGTTTCGTTTTGGCTGTCTTAGCCAAGTATGACGTCATTCTTGTCACCTGGCAAGCCTTGAAAGCACTACGCGTGCGGCCTGCCTTCGCGTCTCCAAATCACTCGCACTGTTTCACACGATAAAAGAAGTGCGGATACGAGACGCTCGATGCTTACAGGTATCGCGAGCCGTGTTCGCACATTCATCCCTTCTTTCTTACCTGTTCTTGATGTTCGCCCACAATGTTGAGCGCAACGAGGCCCATGTGTAGTACAGTTGCTTTCGTTGTGCATAAAATCAATTTTAGGATCCTCAGCCTCCTCGCAGCGTCAATCTTTTGAGACATTAATGTTCTTCTCATCATACAACATCATATTCGAAGCGCGCTACCTAAAATCTCGCAATTTATGTCATCTTGCTTCCTAGTAAACCAAGCGAGTCGCCCCATATTCGGATCTTCTTCCCAAAAACATACATTGGCAATGTGGTCAACATAACGCCCACAGCTATTGCTCCAAAAGTAGCAAAGAAAACGAGAGGACCGCTTTGGGCATAGTAGTCGTTTAGGATAAACGTCAGACCAAAGGCAAATGCGCTCTTGGTGACCTGAACCGAGATGTCAGTTAGACGGAAGGGAGGCAGGATTCGATGAGCTGGAGGGATCTTACCATGGCCAACCCGAAAGCATCGCCAGCTCGCTCGCCACAAACATCGTTTGTGTAAGTAACAATCCCCGTACATCCCAAACCAACGCCGAAATTAATGACGGCCATGAAGACTCCACACGCGTTTGCTGAAAGACCTACATGAATCGCACCACCGAGACCAAAACTTCCCAGTGCCAAGGCAACAGTGGCTACAGAGATGACGAGCAGTCGGAATTCTGGCTCGTAGACGCCATTGTTACGAGCAGCGAGGGTTTGGACAACCTTGTCGCATGCAGACTCCGCAACAATCAATCGATTGACATGATTGATTCCTATATAGGTTAAAGAATTACTTCATTAGGCAGCCTTTAACCTAGATAGGAATCAATCATGCCGATCCGATTGATTGTTGCGGAGTCTGGTCGCATGCCCAACCACCCAAGACAGTTCCCAGCGCAGAGCCAATGAAAGGAGCGATACCAGTCAGATTGCCAACCGCAACTGTGCTCATGTTATACGGAGGCGCACCGAAGATCTGAGACACCACTGCTCCCAGGAGAATGGTCCATGTGAACGTTACAGACCACATCACGCACCCCCAGAGCACGATTGGGTGCAACAGAAGGGTCGTTGGCTTGATACAGACCGCGAAAAGGCGATTTGTGTTTTCAAAATGTACGGAACCAAGACCAAGGAAGTATCTCCAGGATGGACGAGAACCGCTCTGTATCACCTCTGACCTTGGCGAGGCAGGAAGTTTGGCGGATTTGTCGTCGTTCAAGTCCAGCACTTGCTCCGGGCCGACAATTGGGTTTGAAGTTGGCAGTGTTGGCGTTTGACCTTCAATGATACTATGACCGTTGTCTCTGTGGTAGGTCGTTTCTGGGAAGAGGAGGATGACTGCAGCCAAGGCCAAACCGAACAATATGGCTTCAAGCCAAAAGCTCCACTTCCATGACATATTCGAGATGACGTAGCCACTAAAAACTGGCGTCAAGTTCACAGAAACGATAATGGCGAAGTTCCAGAGACCGACGCGTAAGCCACGTTCGTGCACAAAGAACACGTCGTTGAGAGTCGAGGTTCCAGCGAGCGCGAAAAACCCTCCCATCCCGAGGCCTGTTACGAGGTTAAGATTGGTTCTCATCTTCAACAAAGGCTGGATAGGGTACCTTGAAAGACACGAGAAGCTAACAGTGATTTGTAGGATGTCGATGCCGCAGCCCAACAACATGAGATAAACAGTAGGCCGGTCGTAGAGATATATACGAGGCGTTTTCCAAAGACTTCTGCAAGGGAGCAGCAAAGATACGCGCTTACTCCCAGCGACATGACCAAGCTACCATTGAGTAGAGTGATATTCGTGATGCCAAGATCGAAATATTTGGCAAGATCTGTAAAGCCTGGTACCAACAATGGTCCCAGTGACCCGGTTGTACATGATCCAAAGAGGACCACAGCAAAAAGCAGTTCTTTGCGGTGTCTTGGCCAATTCAGTGGATCAAACGGGGAATCTGAAGGCGAAGGAACCAAGACCGCCTGTGTCATGGCGCTTCGGTGTCGCGCATGATCCTGAATGACGCTTGTACCTGATGGCCGCAACGTGCCGTCGGCAGGCTCAAGAATGAAAAATGGCATTTAGATTTTTGGATAAGAGTCGATGAATAGAGGAGGAGAGCGGGAAGAGCAGTGCAGTCTATTCGGGAACTACCCAGGTATATGTGATACTCATCACCCGAGCAATTGGGCAGTTGCAGAGCCATATATCCGCGGCTTAGCGTTGTTTCGGTCGCATTATACGTCTGTTTGCATCAAGATAACCGTCTATCAACAGAGGAACGCCGAAACCAGAGATAGGGTTGCCGGTGTAGAGATAAGTCGACTTCGAAGCTCGCCGAGATCTCTGATTGGACGTTTAATGTCTTGGCTATCCGGCGGCTCCAAAGGTTCCGCCGCTAGCATTCTTTCATATTGCCACACAAGATTGGTACACCTCTGTAGCTTCGTGCCCACCTATCTGGCGGCTGCATTCATTCCGCCGCTAATGCCATAGTGAACTGTACCGTCCTTTGTATTTCCGCAATAAATACCCTCTTCGAAACATACATGGGCAAATCGTTTTTAAATCGTTTTGGCAAACCTTAAAACGTTAACGCGTTTAAGCAAAAATCCTTATAACGTTAAAGCGTTTAACGATATAAACGATATAAAAACGATATAAGATACATCATGCCAAGACCGGGTTATGTCCATTCTAGAATCTCCTCTACCTCATCCCTTATCATCTCTGCTTCGTCATCTTGCTCTGGTTCCATTGGTAGACCCATTCCGTTGAGAGAACACGGTTTTATGTGGCCTTCCCTAAGCCAACTGCCAATGCACTCGATCTTCTCAATGTTGTCGCAAGTGAGCCTCGACCGATCCCATGAACAGGTTCTTCTTGCACCTGAGAATGTTCTCTCTGGCTCGGACGACTCTGCAGCGATAGAAAGAATAGAGATAGCCATGTTGCTTAGCCTAGGGTAGCGCTGCCGTTGCTCCGATCGGCACCACCATTCAAGAGGGCTACAGTCGATTTGTATTACTGGACTTTCTGCGAAAATTTTAAGATCGTCGCTGTTTGATTGATCTGCCGCCGCAACTGACATCTGTTGTAGAATCTGATCGAGAACGGCACCGCGTTGCTTTAAAGGAGGAGCCATTTGTTGAGAAGCTGTAGGGCTAGCTAAAGGCAAAGCGTCCTTAAACTCATTCACCCAAAAGTTTTGAGCAGCGTTAATAGCTGGTTCGTACCATTCGGCTGGCCAGTTCTTCTTGAGATATGCTGCTCTACTTGCGGGATTTAGAAGAATAGCGGAAGCGTACACCGGAACCTGATCAGTCATGTTGTAGTACTTCTCAAGTACGAACCAGCCCATCTCGATCGATCGAACCATGTGAAGGTCCTCATTTTCATCTTTAGAGTAATGTATCTATAAAGCTGTTAACCGAAGACTTAAAGTTCGGATAACACGTTAATGCTTACCTTTTGCTGCTCATAGTGGACTAAAAGAGAGTCCATAATCAAAAGAGATTGAGAGATAGACGATTTATCTCCCTCCGCGTATAGCGTTGCTGATGCAAATGGTTGTAAAAATGTATGTGCTTTTTGTAGTATATCCCAGTCGTCAGAAGTAAGACGGATCTCGTTAAGGTGTTTCTCGTTATCGTGCATAAAGACCTTAATTGCAGCCATCTTCTTAATAGCCCGATCCATAACTGAGTACCATGAAGACCACCGAGTCTGATTGTCAATCCCTAAGCGGAGGCCTACCTTGCGATCCCACTCTGCTGCATGTATACTTGAGTTGCGCAGCCAGACACATAGTTGATGTAATTTGCGTAGTGTAGAGATGTTCTCAATACCACAAAAGTCCTCATCAACAGACCCATGGCTATCAACGCTGCGTCTTCGGCGAGACAACCTTTGTCTCTGTGAGGTTTGTGGAACAGCTTGGGCTTGGGCTCTAGGGTTTCTCTGTCGAGAAGTAAGAACGCTTGAAAACTCTGCGAGAAGCTCTTCCCCCATAACATCCGTTACGGCGTCGAGAGCAGCGGTAAGAGCCTCCTTAGAGGATGCAAGCAGGAATGCCTGCAAGGATAAATTGATAATATGACCGATACATCGGATACGGCGCTCTTTAGCAGTAAATTTAACCTTGTTAATATTAGCACCATCGCGTAACTTAAGCAGCGAAGGCCGATTTTTATATTAAAAGCCATGCTTACGTTGTGCTTAGTTCGAAGGAGGGTTTCAAGATGCTCCAAACAGGTATCGTTAGATGTTGCGTTATCACCCGTATGCCAGCCAACTCTAGACTGTATCCCATATTCCTCGAGGGTTTGAAGAAGTAAGTGTGCTTGCTGTTCTCCAGAGTGGCTGTAACGACATTCTGGCAGTCCTAAAAGAGCCTTCTGAAGCTTATATTCGTGATCGACCCACTGTGCGCATACAGCAAGGAGAGATGAACGGAACGGTGATGTCCAGAGATCTGTTGATATGTGGATAGGACTCACAGCCGTCGATAAGCTGCCTTTAATTACATGGCCTTTATAAAGCTGATAATTCGAGGCGATAAGACGTACGGCTGTACGTCGACTTGTGATAAGCTGGTCTTCAATAAATGGATTGCAAGCAAGCGCTAGATCCCTCATTTCAGACCATTCGATTGATGAAAAGGCTATTCGACGTCGAGTCAGAAGACCGACAAGCGCATCGCGATACCCTTGTTCATTGAAGGCGTTGCGGATAATTGTCTGATCAGAGACAGTCCTAAACACTGAAGTGATAGCTGGTTGCGACGACGAAGAAGAAGTTTGCGAGGGCTGAGAAGACTCTGACGTTGTATGATATGCTAGAACATGGTGGATAGAGTTTACTCGGTGACTGCTAAACCATGAGCGACAGCGTTTGCACACATACTGCTTTTTCAAACGCTGGCGCTTTGCATTGCTGGTGTTACAGACAGTTTCGGTTCGTATAACAGCGTCAAAGTGTGGCGGCGTTGCGGGTCTTCGCGACGGTGGCGTTGATATCGCACTTGCTGACAAGGTATTCGATGACATAACGATAATAGATGCTATAGATAATGGATTTGTTGAGATTTCAGGTTAGTGGGGAGTGGTTGCAGAGTTTTTGAGATGCAAAGGTGGGGTGCTTGGCGCCAAGCCTCTTATAGCGTTTTTAAATCGTTCACGCGTTTAAGGATTTTCTTAAACGCGTGAACAGTTTAAGCTGTTAAAGCGTTTTAAAACGTTTTAAGCTAAAACGTTTTACGCAAACGCGTTAAGCTGCCCATGTATGCTTCGAAATACAACGTGGTTAGATACTTTTACTCTTCTACGTTCAACACACACTGTCCACGTCATGTCACATCAACCATCATCCACTGTTTACGTTGCTGTCGCTCAGTTCGAGCCAGCATGGCTTGACTTGCCAAAGGCTGTCGAGAAGACATGCCGCTTGATCCGCGAGGCAGCAGAGAACGGCGCAAAACTTGTGTCGTTCCCCGAATGTTGGATCCCAGGCTATCCTGCCTGGATTTGGTACGTTCGCGAATACAGTTGTCCTTCGTCGATTTCCAAGGTATGCTGATATGTGGTGCCAGGACAAGGCCCGTAGACTTCGAGCTCTCGACAGCTTACATCAAGAATTCTCTGCAAGTAGACTCAACCGAGATGCGTCGCATCTGTCAGAGTGCTGCAGACTACCACATTGCCGTTGTGCTTGGGTTCAGCGAGAACTACAAAGACTCGCTCTATATCTCACAAGCTATCATAAATGCCGAGGGCACTATTGAAGTCCTGCGTCGGAAGCTGAAAGCGACGCACATGGAGAGGACGATATTTGGAGATGCATCTGGCTCTTCTCTCCACAACGTCGTGGAGCTGCCGGACGTTGGACGCGTTGGTGCCCTGGCTTGCTGGGAGCACACGCAACCACTACTCAAATACCACACTTACCATCAAAGAGAAAGTATACATGTTGCTGCGTGGCCGCCGCTGTACGAACACAGTGGCGGTCCAGACTTGTATTCCATGAGCAAAGAAGGTGCGATACTGTATTGCATACGACCAGAATAACCCTTAGCTAATGTAGTTGGTAACCAGGTGCCCGCAGCCTCTCTCAAGTCTACGCCATAGAGTCGCAATCCTTTGTTCTGCATACTACAGCGGTAATGAGTGATGCAGGCATCGCTACACTACGGACAGGCTCTGGTCTCACCATGAATACCCCTGGTGGAGGTAGCTCAGCTATCTTTGGCCCGGATGGGCGCCTGGTGGCTAACGGTCCTCCAGAGACAGAAGAGGGGTTCATTTACGCAGAACTGCAGCTTGATGATATTTTGAAGGCAAAAGGTTTCTTGGACATTTGTGGCCATTACAGCCGACCTGATCTGCTGTGGCTAGGTGTTGATAAGAAAGAGAAAACACATGTAACATGGTTGACAAGCGAGTCGGTCAGGCAAGCGAGTCGGTCAGGCAAGCGAGTCGGTCACCCCACCAACTTTAATCACCTACTCTATCTTAACACACAATGCCTCCATGCCGCGCTCCTCTCGTGCATTCAAA